AGTGATAGTTGTTTATTTAACTAGTGGTAAAAAATTAAAAGTAATTGACTACAAAAAGTTAAAACAGGACAAATACCGTTTAAGAGTATCTCACGTCAAAATTTAAAGAGAAAATAAATTGATATATACGCTCTTGAGTTGAATTAAGTAATCGATTGGATTCAATCTTTTAGTGTCATTCAAGTCTAGTGTCTTATGGCCCAATCCACTCATTCTTTTTCCACCTTAAGACTCAGTCATAATATCGGAGTAGGTTTTGGCTCACCTCACTTGTCAAGGTGTCTGTCTAGACGTCCATTCCTAGCGTCCCGTTTATCTTTAGCCCAGTTGTCCGTAGGAAATATATATACCCAATGGTCTGTGACCCATTTAACTTGATTGTTAATATGTAAGTTCATACCCAGTGACCCGGGATTCTTTAGGTGTTGTTGCTCAAATATTCAATTAATGGGGATGGGAATCTATTTAGAACACGGGCAATGACAAGTAATGAAATGGAATGTCACACGTTGACATGACACTTTTCAACCAATAAAAATAATCCTTCCAGCATGTGGCAAGTGAGTGGAGTGGCATCGTGCAATGGCAAGTCATCGTTTTTGTTACTTTTTATGATTTCATAATGAATATTAATTATTAAAAATTATTTCAATTACCTTTTTTTTAAATAGATGCACTCCTTTTTTTAAAAAAAATTCTTTCTTCTACCAAAAATTTTTTTACAAAAATAAGATAAAGAAAACCCATAAGATGCCTCGCGCCTCATACGCTTGGCGTGGACGAAGGCTGAAGCCTCGCGAAGCAATTTACGGACTGAGCTGATGTGGCACACCAAGGCGAGAAAATGCCTCGCCGCTGGCATGCTCTTACAAGTAGTCAACCGGTTTGATTCAAAATGGATCATTTGTCCACTCGAGTGGGAGTGTTAAAGAATATCCCACATCAGAACTTAAAGAGAAATTAAAATGAATTGATATATAAGCTTTTGAGTTGAACTAATTAAGTAATCAATGGAATTCAATGTACTTTTAATGTTTGGTTGAACCCAAATGTCTTATGTGCCCATCATTCCTTTCCCATCATAAAACTCTACTCCCTGCGTTTCTAAAAGAATTACCTCCTTTGATCCACGTGTAAAATCATGTGATTTTTAAAATAATTTTATTCACAAATTGGTAAAGATTAAAAAATAAAAATTTTATATTTAAAAACTACTTCAAAATCTTCTCAAAATAACATGTGATAAGAATATTTTAATTTATTTTATCAAACAAATAAAAGTTATCGAGATATCGAAATAATAAAGATATAATTATTTTAGGGACGGAGGAAGTAACAAATACTCATTGATATGAAGATAGTTCTTTTTTTTAGAAGACGAGAGTGAGACAACTATCAGAAAAGCAAAATTAATACTCCATATACATTATTGACAATAAATATGTAAAGCACGAAACGAGCAGACGACTAAAAACTGAAACAAAAAGAGATCAGAACAAATTACTAAAAAAAAAAAAGAAGAAGAAAGAAAACAGGAGGCTGGGGGGATTGAGATGAACCAATTCCAATGAAAGAGCAAGGGGCCGGGCAGGCGGGCAGGGGCCAAGCAAAGAAATTCTGATACCTGAAAGGGATTCAAAAAGGGAAAATGGTAGGGGCAAGAGACCCAATTAGCAAAATGCAACATACAATAAAACATTCCAAAAAAGCAAAAGCTGATGAAGAAGTATAATTGTAAAATACTCCCTCCCATAAACTCCTTCTCCATTCTTTCTTGAGAAATTTACCTAAATAGGACTAAAACATAATGAATTTCCCAATATAGGAGCATATGTTTTTATTTCCCAATGTAGGACATTTGGTCATTATCAAGTAGTCATTATTCAACTAAATATTCATGATTACAGGACATTATTCTTTCCACTAGGTCATTATTAAGTCCTATTTAGGGAATAAAAAAGTTTAAGTCCTACATTAGGAAAGTCATTATGTTTTAGTCCTATTTAGTACAAATTTCACTTCTTTTTTTCTCTGTCCCACAAATTCTTTTCCTTTTCAATTAAAAAGTCACTTTTAAGTTTTACGCTTGCTAATTTTCACCCTACTTATCATATCATTTTATTTTTTACTAATAATCGACCCATCACATTTCATTTTTAGGCATTATATCGAGAACATTTTAGAAAAGTCAACATAAAAATATCTCTCTCTTAATTTTCAAAATGAGAAGGACTTTAAGAGACGAAGGAATATATTAAGAAGAAGTGAATGAAGAAGAATCATTTCTTGTGTTTTTGCTCTTTAATTTCATTCATGGCCAAACAACCTTTTTGTACGGAGTACAACATACTCCGTATATATACTCCGTATATACGTAGTATGTATATGATATGATGTTCATGCAGGAGTAAAATAAAGAACATCATATCAATTCCTCCCCCACTGCTTAAAAATCTTTTTTCGCTTTTTGACCAAACCGGCCTCATCAATCACTTTTTTTTTCCTTGTTAATGGATAATTTGGTTCTTTATATATTTGACCAAACCTTACTTTTTTTCTCGTTTATATGGATGAGGCCACGGACCTTTATAGTTTATATATATATTGTTTTTAATTTCTTATTGGTTTCTGTCAATGTAACCCACTACGTGCATGATGCACCTTCCGATGTATTCATGCAGGATTTTCTACGTAAATTTTTGAACATTTTTATACAAATTAATTAATCTTTAAATATTATTAGGATAAATTTATTTTTTGAAAATTGTTTATGAAAACAATCCAATGAAATTGAGAAATTCTATGAGCTAAGTTGCACAGGGACCTTCTCCTACACTTTTTTTTATTTTTTAATGAAATGTTTATTTCCTCATTTATGAAATCTTTAATCGTCAAGCATTTATTTCTTAAATTTTTTATTCTTCCTCGAAAAACAATGTTTATTTCAACATTTAAGAAATACTTAACTATCAACATTAATGCTTGGTTCACAAACACAATGATCACAAACTTACTATTTGTGAACTTCAATAAAAATAATAAGTAGTCTAAAATAATTTTAAAATGTAAATTTAAATTATAAATAGTACTCCCTCCATCCGAAAATATTCTTCTCATTTGACTTTTCTTGGTCAAAGTTTATAAACTTTGAGTATGATATATGGAAAAAATACATTGTATCACGATATAACTTTAATATGAACATATTCCTTTTGATATATAGTTTTCAAATATCAAATTTTTACAAAATATATCTATGTATAAATAAAGATATTAGTGGTCAAAGTGTAATATTGGAGACCGTAAAAAGTCAAATAGGAAGAAAATTTCCGGACGGAGGGAGTAATTTATGAAATTTGTGATCATTCTGTTGGTGAACCTAGCATTGTTCTTAAATATATGTACTTCATTATATTCCTCTATCCCAATGTTTTTAATTTGTCCAATTTACTATTCATAGGACCCAACAAAATTTACTTTCTCTAAACTAATTTTTATTTATCATCTGTTAAAAAATATATTCGTATAACCTTTTATTTTATAGAACTTTTGATGTCATATTTAAATAAGAGCATGTCGAATATGTCGAATGCTAAGACCAAAATATAGTGCCATGCACCAATTGCCAGAAATGTAATGCCACTTAAATAGAATCCCAAGTCAACGCCACATATGAAAGAGAAGAGGACTTCGGACTAGCATTGAAGATGTTTTAAATTTTTACAAATAGAATGGTCACAAACTTCATAAACTTATCATTTATGATTTAAATTTTCATTTTAAAATCATTCTAGATTATTTTAAAAAAATTATTAAAGTCTACAAATAGTAAGTTTGTGAAGTTTGTGATCATTTTGTTTGTGAATCTAGCATTTCTCCTCTAAGTTTATCTTACTAGTAAGCAAAGGATAATTTGATCTATATGAAATTCCAACATGGATTTAATAAGTCTATGCAAAATTTTGCTGATTCATTAACACCTTAATTAATTCTATGTCATCATCATTATAAGTTATAACACGTGGTATTCCCTCGTCCTCTTCTAACACATAGCCTATTTTTTTTGTTTGGTCTCAAATTGAACTTCTCATTCCTTAAAATGATGATATATATATGGGTGCACTGATCTATCTTAATTTTATCTCCTCTACATAAACTCCAACTAAACAATTCAACTTTTTCCTTAATCTATGTGAAAAAGAAAATGGCAAATCTATTTTAGTCTTTGTCCCAAATTTGATTACAAATTGAGATTTATAAAGAAAACTTTTTCATCTTTTGAAATTATTTTATTTAAAATTGGTATATCGAAAAAAATAAAGAATATTTTTTATATTATAGAATAATCAATGAACACATACAAATAAACAAAAGTTGTCTAGAAAATTGCAATCAAAATTGAGAAGGAGGGAATATTATTTCATGAGAAATACTCCTTCCGTTTCTCAAAAGAGTTCCTCTTTTGACTTTAGAGTAAAATAAGGAAGTGTTAAATTGTAGTTGACTTTCCAATTTTGCCTTTGATGTGATGGGTAAAAGTAAGATGTGATAGTTAAGTTGTTAGTGAAAAAGTATGATGTGATAGGTAGGGTATGAAAAAGTAAGAGTAAAAGTGGTTTTTTAATAGAAAAGGGAAGTGTTTTAAGAAAAACAAAAAAATGAAAGAGGAAGGATTTTAAGAAACGGAGGGAGTACCAAAAAAACAAAAAGAAAATAGAAAATAGAGAAGTGGAAAAAGAGTCATTCAGTCCCACCATTTGTTTCCAATGGATTTCCAATATATAAATGCATCATGCATCTCCGGTCTCTCATATCCCCTTCAAGTAGGTCTCATCACATCATCCATAGATATATATATTTAAGAAAAATGATGAGGATTAAGAGAGTGAGTTTGAGCCGTGATGAAGAAGAAGGGCACACCAAAAGAAAACAACAAACAAGCCACAAGAACAAGAAGAAGAGCGCCGTGATTACGGAAGCGGCAGAGTTTTCGGTTTCAGCGGTGAGGTTCCTGAAGCAGGTGGGGGCGAACATGGCGCGTCTGGTTTCGATCAGCTCGGAGCAAAAGAGGCGGCAGAGCTGCCGCCGGAAGGTGTCGTCCTCGGCGGCCCAGCTGGGAAGGTCAAGGTCATATGCGGAAAGCTCATCATCGTCATCGGCGGCCATTGTAGAATCTCACCTGAGGGCAGAGGCCATTGAAGACTGCATTGAGTTCTTGAACTCTTCTTCTTCCTCTTCTTCTTACTATTCTCTCCATCGCTCCAGCTCCGTCTCCAGTTCCTGCATCAATTAATTAATTAATTAATTACTCAGCTCGCTGCGTATTGTATTGAAATATAGTTTGGTTTCTTCTTCCATGTCATTTCATGCATTCCAACATTTCCCTGTAAATCCAATTTAGTTGCTGGATGGACTTATTAGACTAATCTCCCAAAAATGTCCTTTTCTTATTGTGTGTTTATCCCTATTTAATGTCAAGGAACCAACTCAACCACAAGCTCAAGCTTGTGGTTGTGGCCCAGGAACAGTTATTTATATTCTAACACGCCCCCTCACGTGCAGACGTAGTTTTTTTCGAGCCTTGCACGTGAAACCTTAATTTTTTTAAACTGGGTGGCGCTGAGTTTCGAACCCATGACCTCTTAGTCAACGAGGCTTTGATACCATGTCAGGAACAGTTATTTATATTCTAACATAAATGGATCAATCCATTTTCGAAATAAAAACTTTATTACAAATGAACTAATGTTTTTAAATTCTCTAGTATGAGAATATAATAAATAAAATTATAAATTTGAGTTGAAAGTAATTATTTCAAATTGTTTAAAATTATTTAGAAAAATATCACCTATGGAAATTAAATAGAGTAAAGTATGAGTAAAAATTGAAAATATACCAAAATAGGAGTTTTATATTTTTATTTCAGGAAATATTTTTTATTACAATGACAACCATGACCATATAGATTCCCGGAAAATATTCTGAAATATTCATATACAGTGTCACATTACCACAACGCAAACTCGTATTTTGGAGATAAAAATTTTAAGCTCCTATTTTGGTACTTTTCCTACACTTTAGTCTTATTTAGGGTGATTTCTTTATTATATAAATAAAATATCTAATTTATTTGTTCCATTCGTTTTGAATTTAAGCTTCTTGTTTCAGTTTACGATATTTTACTAAAGATTTCTTCAAGGTATACCTTTTTTAATATTTGAATTGAAATACCACAATTACACTTAACCTTTTTATTAGACACCATGCACTTCATTTATTAATATACTCCACCGCTTTGATTAGGACTAATTTCATTACTTCATTTTTTTTCAACTCATCTTTAAAAACATGAAAACTCAACTTGAGAACATCTTTTCCATACGGAAGAAATATATTAAAAACGTACACAAAATCTTTTACAAAACAAGTTGTGACATGACAGTTTTATAAAACCATCCAAGAAGGGAGCCTTATTAGTTTGCGAAAATTAAAAGCTACGAAGTGAGGTTCAATTTCAGATAATAAGTTTTGTAAAAATGGAATCTTAATTTTATATTTAAATACCATTTAGTTTGGTAATTATGAATTCGATAAAAATTAAAATATAGTATGAAGTAAGACTCAGTTTCAAAAATAATACTTTTTAACATGATACTTTCAAATATTTTTAAACCGTCTCAAAGATTTATTTTAAAATTTATAACTTTAGCTCGTATTCAAAATCATTATTGTTAATATTTTTCAATATTGTAAAATATTTTTAAATATTTTACAAACTAAATAATTTTCAAAATATTAAAAACTAATGTTCAAACATACAGATATTTTTAAATCCGTATATTTGGCATGTATATTTCACTGGATAAATTCAAACGGATAAATTTAAATGATTTAAAATTAATAAAAAAGTATGTTTGATAACCTAATTATCGAGTAACATTTTTGAAAGTATTTTAAAACTATTTTAAAATTATTGGTGTTTCACTATTTCGTACAAATTTTAGTTAATTAAATTCAAAATTTTATCAATTTTGATTGTAAAAATTCAAAACTGAACAAATACTCTCGAACGAATATTGTACTCCAAATTTGAACTTGATTAAAGTCAAAGAGTATTTTTTTCTTTAAAAAATATTCAAAATGTCGGGAAAAAATTCAAAAAACGAAAAGTGGGCAGCAAATTTCTATTGTACTAAAAAAATCCTAGGACTTAGGAGTTTTTTGGTAAAAAACCTTCTGGAGTTTATCTGTTTTTAAGTTCAAAAATCAAAGGAGGATGCAAATGAAATAATATTAACTTCTTAGGGTACATCTTGATATTTTTTTGTGATTGGGTACATTTTAAATAGTTGTTACATTTTAAGAGTGTAAAATGTTATTGACTCAACAAAAATGATTGGGGTGCACCAAAAAGAGTAAATTCTTAAAATAGTAATCAATAATTATGTGTTTTTCTAAATTAGTATTTAAAGTTAACTAATTCCCCGAGATCGTACTCGTTTATTGAGAATAATACTCAGTTCAACCACCGACTAACGATCGTTAAAACGACATTAAAACAAAGTTAAACCTTATACTATTTTTCCAAAATGGTACTTTCTAACTGGGTGTTCTTTGAAATTAATCCATGCATTTTCGAAATAAAATTAAAATACATTAAATATGGAAACATATTTTAAATTATATTGGATGACAATTATAATAAAAACTATAAATATAGTTCTATAAATTTGAAAGTAAACGTTTTAGATTATTTATAATTATTTAGAATAATAGCATGTAAATAAAATGTGTAATAAACGTTAAAAAATCACTCTAAATAGGAGTAAAACATATGCAAATAACCAAAATAGGAGCTCTTTGTCTATGTTTTACTCCAATTTATTGTAAATTATTTAAACATTTATTAAACGTTATTTTATTTAATATATTTTTATTTCCAAAATGGACCAATTTTAGAAAACATCCAATTAGAGAGTACCATTATGGAAAGATAGTATTAGGTTTCACATTGGTTTAACGCCTTTTTAACAGTCGTTAGTCGGGAGAACAAAACTAACTATTATTCTTAACTAACGAGTGTCATTTTGGGAATTGGTTAATTTTGGGGCTTAATTTGGGAATATACTGCACCGAAAATTGATTGGGGTGCACCAAATGTTATTCAAGCTCCAATTTTTAAATCTCCATTAAAAATATGTAGAATGATCCAAGGCATTACAGATTGACCCTATTACTAAAATGGATTGCATTGTATTCTTCTATCAATCGCCAAGCCTTGTGCTCAAGCCCTAGGCCATGCCTTTCTGGTTCCTAAAGAGCGAAGAAGCAAGCCTGCATGACGTGCATCAGCGCCCTACGACTATACTAGTGAGAATGACTGCGGTTTGGAGCGATAATATCCAGTGTCCAGTGGTTATTCGTTGATTGTAATAGCAAGATGATCTTGTTATGAAGATTTCTGCAGAGGAGAAGAAATCTTGATAAGAAGAAGAACATAAGATATTTTAGGAGAGGGGAAGAACAGAGAGAAGATATTTTGAGAAGAAAGTTGTGCTATGCCTGGCTTAACAATGAAGATACCCAACACTATTTATGTTAGAATATTAATAACTGTTCCTGGGCCACAATCACAAGCTTGAGTTTTTGGTTGAGTTGGTTCCTTGACATGGTATCAGAGCCTCGTTGACTAAGAGGTCACGAGTTCGAAACTCAGCGCCACCCAGTTTAAAAAAATTAAGGTTTCACGTGCAAGGCTCGAAAAAAAAGACCGCGCCTGCACGTGAGGGGCGTGTTAGAATATTAATAACTGTTCCTGATCCACAATCACAAGCTTGAGCTTTTGGTTGAATTAGTTCCTTGACAATTTATACACAGAGCCTTAGCTAACAGTCTCTTACAATATCCCAACCGACCACAAATATATATCACAACTGATTTATAACTTATCCCTCCGTCCCGTGAAACCTTTCCCCCTTTTTTTTTATCCGTCCCACAAAACACTTCTCATTTCTATTAAAAAGTCACTTTTACCCCTTATTTTTTCATACCCTAACTATCACATCATACCTTTTTATTAATAATCTATCCATCAAATCATACTTTCATCCATCACATCAAAGGAGATTTTTGGAAATTCAATACCAAAATACACTCCCTTAAATCCCTCCTAAAAAGCAAATGTCCCATATTTCACGGGACGGAGGAAGTAATTTACCAACTACTAGCCACGTCAGCAAGTTAGCCGCATCATTGCTCCCTCCTCCAAAAAGACTTGTCCTGAAGTCTGAAACTTTGTGTATCTAGCATAAAAACGGTCAGGTGGCTCCCAAGTAGCTTCTAGGGTGCTATAGCTTTCCCACTGAACCAAGTACTGAACCTAGGCTTTATTTTGGATCTTTTGAATTCTTGTGTCAAGTATAGTTGCTTGTTAAGGGCGACTACAAGCAATTTTACCCTCGAAATATGCGAGAATATAATATGAACATCTACATGTAAATTGCCTCAAAATTGCTTAAAATGAGAGACAAAAAATATCGTGTATGCATGAGTGAGCTGGTAACTTAAGCTTGTAAGCCACCTGACCAACAGTTGCTGCAATTTGAAATTGCACACAGTACTTAAGAGAGAGCTTATTATTGCTTCTATGTTGAACAAGTTGCTGCGTGTACGATTGTAACATGAGTTGATCATTCATTTGTTGCCGCCTTTACAAGCTTCTGTACACTGATTCTAGCATGGATTCTCCAGGAAGATAGGGTAAATATTGGGGGTTGACCATAAACAATCTCATAGAGGGTAGCTTTAGTGGCAGTGTGGTAGTGAGTGTCGTACCCGTCATTCAGCCAAGGGTAACCACATACACCAATTTGCTCGCTGATTCCTACACATACACCTTAAGAGCATATTCTTTAGGACTGTAAAAAAAGCTGGATGTTGGAAGAATCTAGAAGAAACATGAAGAAACTAGCTAGAAGGACTGGAAGAAACTTGGAAAACATTAAATAAACTGAAAAAACTAGAAAAAATTGGAAAATCTAAAAAAACTTTTAATTTTTTTTTGTGTATTTTTATATTATTCTCATTCTAATTCTTGTTGTTATAAATTATTAATATTGTTACTATTATTATTATTATTGTTGTTGTTGTTGTCATCACATTATCTTAATGAATGCCTTTAAAATAAAAAAATATTATTATTTTTCATACACAAAAAAGCTACTTTTA